GAGCAAGGTAGGATTTATTTAGAAATACAATGTAAGAATATATATTTTTAAAGACAAGGATTGAATGATTATTGTAACTTTCTGTAGGAAATGATAAACTAACTTTTTATCTTGGAATTGTAATTAGAGTGAAAAGATAAATAAATAGAATTAAGGCTGTTGTGGATGACAGATTTTAAAGGGAGTATGTATGCCCACACACATTCCTGTATTCAGAGTAGAGTGATTTGTGGAAGAGCTGAAGCTCTGGCAAAGGATGAGTCTAAGTCACATCTTCTAAGTATAAATATTCACTGCTGGCTCCTGTGTGATGCATAGAAGGTGCTGGATAAATGACCACTGACTGCCCGAGAGGACAGATGTGTGTTTCAGACTTAGTGCTTCATGGTGTGCCAAGTTGCCAATCTTATCTTAAAAAATTAAACTCATATTTTAACCCCTTAAATGGTTATAGCTAGAACCTGATCTAAGGATCCACCATAATTCCAGGGTTTTAGAAAGGTCTTCAAACCTCTGTCTATTCAGTTGTACAACACAACTAATGGTAGCATTTGAAGTTCAAAAGAAGTAGTTTTAGAATGAACATTATATCATCAATGGCAATTGGAGAATGTAGTGGCAACCCACTCTAGTACTCTTGCCTAGAGAATCCCATAGATAGCGGAACCTGGCAGGCTACAGTCCATGGGGTCATAAGAGGCAGACACGACTTAGTAACTAAACCACCACCACCATCTGTAGCAAATTTAGGAGCCACTGGTAGACTAGTCTATAAATAATCATAGGAATCATTGATGGGCGATAAACTACTCCAAATGTTTCAGCAGCATATTGGGAGGAGAGGGAGCTTCTTTCATCTGTGTCATTGATGTCAGGAAAGGAAACTTGATCTTCTGTGAACTGTTAGGTAGTTGGTATCAGAAATAGAGAACTGAATGGTCTGATCAGTCCTTGGGATGACTCCTGTGCCAGCTTAAGGAACTTTCTCTTCTTAGATTTTTTGACCAGCAAAGTAAAGTGGTTGTTTGGGGTTTTTCTGTGTATTTTTATTGACATTTGATCCTATGACTAAATGTGATATTGAGTTGGAAAACCTTCTTCCAGTGTGCTTCACCTTTACACTCACGCTGCTAGCACACTCATGACACATTTGATACCAAATGTGTAGGTTTTTCCCCCACACCAAGCAATTCTCTGTGACACCAGTTGGATGTCCTATCATTTAGTTCAGTTCTGACAGTGATCTGTGTTAGCCCAGACCCCACAAGTTAAGAACTCAGTCCCACAAGACTGCCCTCCGCTTCAGATGCCAGTTGCAAGTAGTAGGTCTCCAAGTTACCCCCAACTTTTGTCCAACTTGGCTACAAGTCACAGGTTCCCATGTGGGGTGTGTATGTCTGTGTGTGTGTGTGTGTGTGTGTGTGTGTGTGTGTGTGTGTGTGTGAAGCTTCTTCAGTCATGTCCAACTCTCTGCGACCCTATGAACTGTAGCTCGCCAGGCTCCTCTGTCCATGAGATTCTCCAGGCAAGAATACTGGAGTGGGTTGCCATGCCCTTCTCCAGGGATCTTCCTGACCCAGGGATGGAACCTGTACCTCTTATGTCTCCTGCATTAACAGGAGGGTTCTTTACCAGTAGCACCACTTGGGAGGCCCTCCCATGTGTTAGGGAAATTAAAATGGACGAAACCCTGTTCAGGCTTCAGAAGCAGGAGAGTGGGCCTCTGAACTACTTCTGACCTGCCTGGACACCGCAGATCCTGCCTGCAAGCACCGCAAGTGCTTAGATAAGAAAAGGAGTTTGCTCTTGGAATTCTCGAGCCTCTGAAGATCTGGCCAATCCCTGGGGGTCTAACAAAATCCTATGACTCACAAAGTGAAACAAACTGCAGTGTAAAAGTTAAAAAAGAACCCCAAAACCAGAGCTGCATTTTTGCACGCAAACTGCTGATGATATCAGTCTGAGGCCTGGGATTACAAGTGGGAGCCCCCTAAGCACAATTTGAAGTCTCACCCTTGGGGTGGACACACCACCCGGGATCCTTTCCCATCACAGCTCCAGATTGCTATTAACAAGGGACTTCCCAGCACTGTTAAGTCTGGATGTAGGTTGTTGGCTCAGTTTGGTGGTTTATTGTCCATTAGTTCTCTCTCTTGTTTCTATTTTCTTTTTTTTCTTTAATGACTGCGTATTGAAATTAAGTCAAACCTATAAAAATTGAAATTGTTTATTTGTGTGTAATGAATGGTTTCTTTTGTTAGCAAATCCTTTGAACTTATAGGTAAAACTTTAGGCAAGACACAATGACCCCCTCACTTCTCCACATAGGATTCAGTTACTTGCTGGAATGTCTTCCAGAACTCAGGGGAAACTCTTGTTTAACACTGTTATAAAAGGATGTGATAAAGTATACAGCTGAGCATGTAGATGGAAGCGATACAGAGGGCGAGGTATGTGGCAGGGGCATGCAGCTCCCATATCCCTGCAGGTGAGTGACATTCCCAGATCCTCCATGCGTTCACCAACTCCAGCCCCTCACCTTAGGCATTTTTATGGGGACTTAATCACATAGGCACGATCAATCATTAACTCAGTTTCCAAGCCTTCTCTGGAGAATGGGGTGTGGGACCAAAAGTTCTAAGCTTCTAATCATGGCTTGGTCTTTCTGGTGACTAATCCCCAAACAGGAATCACCAAGAGTCACCCAGGAGATACCAAGGGACTAGGAGCTTGGTGTCAGGAACCAGGGTCAAAGACTGAATATTAGAACATTATCACTCCTGGGGCTCTTATCACTAAGGAAGTTACAAGGATGGTCAGGGTTCTGTGCCAAGAACTGGGGACAGAGACCAATAAGTATATTTTCTATGAACTCAAAGATACCAAAAAGAAAGCATTTCAAGATCAACTGTTGGCTTAGTTCTACAGGAGAAGCTGAGCTTACATTTCCTCAACCAAGGCTTTTTGTTTTGTTTATACTCTAGTTCTGATTTTGGCCTGCTAAAGCTAACAATTCTTATTTTGGTTGGGGGCAGACTTTATTGAGGTATAATTGTTATACAAAATTTTACACTCATTTAATATATCCATCTTGATGAGTTTGGACATATGCACACCATCTATGACATCATCACTGCAACCAAAATACTAAACTTATTCAGCACCTCCAAAATATCCCTTGGGTTTTCTTGTGGACTTTTTCTTTCTTCTTCTTCTTCTTCTTGTGGTGAGAACATAACATGAGCTTATCTCACTTCACAGAAAATTTATATCCAAAGAGCTATGCTTCCCCACTGCCCCCTTCCCAAAGTCCCTGACAACCACCATTCTAAGCTCTGCTTCTATGAATTTGGCTATTGTAGATACTTGATACAAGCGGAATCATGCAGTGTTTGTTCATCTGTGAGGGCTTACTTCGTTTAGCATCATTTCCTCAAGATTCATCCATATTCTTGCAGATGCCAAGATTTCCTTATTTTTGAGGTGAATAATATTCTGTGTTATGTATATACCACATTTTCTTTGTCCATCCATCTGTCGATGGACATTTGGGTTATTTCTATATTATCTTAGTTATTTCTTAGTTGTTTCTGTATTATCTTAGCTAGTGCCACATTGAGCATGGGATTGCAAATATCTCTGAGACGCTGCTCTCAATTCTTTTGGGTATATACACAGAAGAGGGATTGTTGGGTGATATGGTAGTTCAGTTTGTAATGTTTTGGGGATCCTCCATATTGTTTCCATAGTGCCTGCACCATTCTGCATTCCTGCCAACAGTGTATAAGGTTCTGATTTCTTCACCTCCTCACCAACAGTTGTCATCTTCTGTGTTTTCAGTTATTGCTATCTATCCTAACTGGTGTGAGATGATATCCCATTATGATTTTAATTTGCATTTCCCTGATGATTAGTAATCTTGAGCAGCTTTTCTTACACCTGGTGGCCATTTGTATGTCTCTTTTTTAGAGAAATGTCTTGAAATCCTTTTCTCATTTTTAAGTCATGTTCTTTGTGGTGGTCTTTTATTAATAGATTATTGAATTGTAGGAGAGTCTTACATATTTTGGATATTAGCTACTTATATAGAGATGGTTTACAAATTGTTTTCTCCCATTCTGTAGATTGCCTTTTCACTCTGTTGATCGTTTCCTTTGCTGTGAAGATTTTTAGTTCAGTGTAATTCCACTTGTTTGATTTGTCTTGTTGCTTAGGTTTTTGGTGTCAGATACAAGAAATCATTGCCAAGATCAATGTCATGACCTATATGGGAAAAGAATCTAAATAAGAGTAGACATGTGTATGTGTATAACTGATTTACTTTGCTGTACAGTGAACTAACACAACATTGTAAATCAACTATACTCCAATAAAAAGAATTTTTAAAAAATCCCCCATCCTCCATTTTCTTCAAGAAGTTTAACACTTTCAGATTTTATGTTTAAGTCTAGTTTGCTTTGAGTTTAGTTGGTGAGTGGTATAAGATAGGGATCCACTTTCATTCTTTAGCATATGGATATCCAGTTTTTCCAACATCATTTGTTGAAGAGAATATCTCTTCCCCATTGTGTGTCCTTGGCACCCTCGTGGAAGATGAATTTATCACACTTGTTTAGGTTTATTTCTGAGCTCTCTCTTCTGTTCCATTGATCCATATGTCTGTCTTTAGGCCAGTATTGTACTGTTTTAATTACTACACTTTTGTAATCTATTTTCAAAATCAAGAGGTGTGATACCTCCAGTTTTGCTCTTTTTTTCCTCAAGATCATAAAGTTAACAATTTGTTTTAGGCTTGGTGAGTGAATTATTTTCATGTCAGAGAACTGGATTTTACTACAGCTCTCTTTCCTTTCTTAGCCTTTATTCTGAAATAATAATCTCTGAAATTGCTTTACAGACAAAGGTTACAGGAGGATGGTCCTCTGATCTAATAGCTCCATTTTTTCCCCATACTGTTGCTAATTTATCTTTCAAACTTTTTATTTTCTGTTTCTTTAAAGGCTGAAAAGAAAGGAGCCAGCAATACAGTTATTGGTATGATCTTTGGATGTTATGCTTTATTTGACTTTCTGGCATCTTTGGTATTTGGAAAATATGTAAGTATTAATTTTTTAAAATGGTGTAATGAGTTATTCTAGCTTACAAGTCTAAAATTTCCACTGATGCAGAAATAACCAGCATTGTATGTTATGAACTGTGCTTCAGCTGACAGTTCCATTCTTACGGTTGATTGATTTTTAACTTCTTCCATGTTTGTAAGAATGCATGTTATCATTCCACTGAAGAATTATGTTTTGTTAACTATATATATCTTCCCCAAATCTTCTGTTTCCTGATACAGTGGATTTGTTTATGTCACTATAGACTTGTAGCAGTCATCAATTTACCACTTTTCTTTGACATTTATTATAGCTTGTACATATTGGAGCAAAATTTATGTTTGTAGCAGGAATGTTTGTCTCAGGAGCAGTTACAGTTCTCTTTGGGTAAGTCATGTTCTGATATGTTTGGGAGCCTGAACAGATTTTCTAATTTATCTTCAGTTTAAACTGTTAATGGTTTCTTTAAATCAATCATTACCATTGATTATCAAATGCCTGGCATATGACTAATGGTGAAGGGAGTTGGATGGTGTGGAGAATGAAATGAATGACATTGATCTTAAGAAAAAAATCCTCTAGGGGATCACCATTAAGTTGGCTGCTGAATCTGTTCTTTAGGACTTCTGTGACTTGAGTGACAGAAACTTAACTCAGTTTTCTGAGTCACAGATTTTTTTGGCTTAAGCAAAAATGTGAGTTTCTTGTCTAAACAATCAGCTAAAGAAGATCAGAATACAGATGTTAAGATAATGTTGTCAGAAGTCTTTCTCAGGTTCCTGATTTTGCTTTTTTTTTTTTTGCTTGGGGAAGACCTAAATCTAAGTCTTTCTACATAGGTTCTTGTTAGATTGACTCTATATTTTTCAAAAGGCCTATTTAGTATTATTATTTAAGACATCAAATATGTCAGTAGAAAAGGACAATGAGGCTGTTATCACGACTCAAATTCCTCCTACTAAAAATGTGACAAATGCTTAAAAATTCATATTCTAAACTGACTTCTTTTAATAACTGTGATTAAGGTATTACTGTTTTAAGTGAGTACAGTTTAAAAAAGTAAAATAAATTTGGTATTTGAGGATTGCCTTATTCTTTTTTAGTCTCTTGGACCAAGTTCCAGAAGGACCAGTGTTTATTGCTATGTGTTTTCTACTGAGAATAACTGATGCAATAAGTTTCGAGGCAGCAATAACTGCGTCTTCTTCTATCCTTGCAAAGGCTTTTCCAAACAACGTGGCCACAGTATTGGTAAGTTTATACGCTTTTCCTGTTTTCCTTTTAGTGTAGGCTAAAATATTTGCTTGTCCTTTCAAGCCAAAGCTGGGGCCCATTCTTCTAGACCTGCTTTTTTTCTACTCTCTGTGTATTTGTTACCTTTCACCCCAGTTTCTACTTTCAGCAGCAGGCTGTCAATAAACGTTCCCTTAGTCTTACTTAGGTGCTTTTCCTGGGCTCAGAAGCCCCTAAATGGGCAAAACCAAATACTCTTTTTTACCTCTTAAAAAAAAAAGGCCTCAGTGGTAGTATCTGCTATCTCTCTGTAGCCTAGATTGTGGCTGGGCTGCCGGAAGCAGATTTATACTAGAGTCCTGCTTCCACTTTTCCCAGAGTCATGGAAAGGATCTTGGAGATTGTCTTGAAGTCCATATGTGCTTCTGCGCAGTAGGTCTGAGGACGGACTTACTTTACCATAAAAATCCAGAGCCTGGTAGCATTGTATTGACGTACATTCTCATATATTGCCCAAATGCCTTGACACAGAGCATTAGTGACATAACAGAATCTTGTCCCACCTCTTGGCTGCTGCCTCCCTGATCCCAACAAGACTTTCCCATATCTCTTTCCTCCAGACCCAGGCATTCCTGGTTTGTATGTGGGAATAGGCACCACCCTCAGAGACCTCAGGTCTAATCAGCTCGGTACCACATTTCCTCATTTACCCATATTAATACTACAGTTTGAAAGTTTTGACCATCAGGTAAACTACTTGCTGTATAAATATAAATATTCACACTTTTATTAAGTATATACCCATATGTATTTACACACTTATTGTAAGTACACATATCTGTATATGTATTGTATATCTGGATAAATTCACTTTAGGTTCTACAGCAATTTTTCAGGCCAAGGTGGCCACTGTAACAGATACACTATTTCCATTTCCAAAAAGTATGTTTTTCAGAAGGGGTTCAGGAAGATGCTAGTTGGTTGACATGCTCTGTAAAACAAGGTTTTGTGGCTGAACATGATTGGAGTAGGGCTTTGCTGTCCTGAAAGTTAGAGGTGGTCAGTTCACATTAGCATGAGTTGTTTTCATTTTATGTGTGAACAGACTATAACATTTGCCCGTTTTCCCACAGTACTGCTGATTTGTCTCATTCATTAATAGTTGCTGTCATGGTGCTTTTGGGAAATTAGTCTTTTGTCAGTACTTTTTCCCCATTCTTCGTTTGTCTTTTTTTTTTTTTTTTCCTTTTTTGCTGTCCATAGTTTTTCATTTTTTGTGTGTAATCAGAGTTATCAGTCTTCTTTTGTGTCTTCTGAGTTTTTATGTCATAATTAGAAAATTTACTTCACTGTAAGGATTAGGAAAAAACTCTCATGTTTTATTTTTCTAGTACTTTTATAATTTCAGGGTGCATGTTTAAATTTTTGGTCTATCTTGGATGTGTGTGGGTGTTGTGTGTATAAATTGTAAAGTAGATAGAATTTTTCCTGAACTTTCCATTAAATCTTTGTTCATTTTTCAAATGAAACATATTAACTCAATCTTCTTTTGTTTTCCCATTCTTAGGGAAGTCTTGAGACTTTCTCTGGCCTGGGGCTTGTGCTGGGGCCTCCTCTGGGTGGCTTTTTGTATCAGTCCTTTGGATATGAGGTGCCGTTCATTTTTCTGGGATGCATAGTTCTGCTGATGGTTCCCCTCAACATGTGTATTTTACCCAATTATGGTAAGACCTCATTTATTGCTCATTTTAAGAATCTTAAATTTAAATATTTTTATGCCTTTGTAGGAGATCAATTTAACATATGCACACTTTCATTTTATAGAATCACTAATAGATTTGTAGTGCATGCTGAAAGAATCAATTCTCTTTTCAGAAATGTTGCGGTAGGCAATAAGCTTACACAAATTGTCATAAATTCTTTCTGATCTATAGAACTAGAAAATATTAAATTCCTTATCATAAAACATATGCAATGCCCACCAGATGTCTTCTTGGGTTCTAAATTAAAGATTATTTACATCTTTTAATATAAAGAATCTTTCCATTGCAATGCACTGTGACAGGAGGACAGTTAGACCTTCCTCTCCCAGGCTCCTTGTAGCTGTGCGCACAGCATGACTCAAGTGTGAGACCCAGGGCCACATCAGGCAGTAACGGGAATCATCTTGGCTCCGAAGCTTCCTGCCCCGTAGGAGTCAACCTATCCCGTAACAACTCCATAGTCACAGCTGCCAGGGTCTCCACGAGGCACGTTCTGGGTGCAAGAGACCCCAGGCTCAGGGAGGCACAAAGCGTCGGGTATTGATGGCTTGTTTATAGTTCCTTCTGTGCAGATGAAATTCACCAGTCAGGGGTCGTTTTCATTATAAGCCAGATTGCCTAGTAAGGAGTTGGCATTTTACCACTATCAGATGACTACTGCGACAGAGCCGCCAAGTTATCTCGAGAGCAGGAGGAGAGCCTGTCGTTTTTCTGTACACAGTGATAGTTGTTTCTGTAGTCAAGCATCCCGGACTGGCCTCTGATGGGGTTCACAGGTGAACACTTGGCTATTAACTAAGAAACTGACACCAGGTCAGATTCTCTTGCAACAGGAGAAAGAGTTCTGTTTACTCTTTATCAATAACATCATATAGGGAAAAACGATGGCTTACTAGTTAATTGTGGGATGTGGTATTTAGAACTTCTGTGATTAGGTGCTGGACTGACCCTAGCATCAGTAATTCTTTGAGTCCTGGCATGCTCTCCTCATCTCGGCCCCTCACTCCTACAACATGGTATCTTTTGAAGCCCCTCTAATCACTGTCAGCCTAGTTATTTGGTACTTATTTCTCTTCGTTCCTGTTATTCCTCAATTAAAATTTTCCTACATCTTCAATTAACTTAGAGCTCCAGTTGTTGTTCAGTTGCTCAGTCGTATCAGACTCTTTGCAACCCCATGGACTGCAGCATGTCAGACTTCCCTGTCCTTCACTATCTCCTGGAGCTTGCTCAGACTCATGTCTATTGAGTTAGCAATGCCTTCCAATCATTTCATCCTCTGTTGTTCCCTTCTCCTCCTGCCTTCAATCTTTCCCAGCATGAGTCTTTTCTAATGAGTCAGCTCTTTGAATCAGGTGGCCAAAGTATCGGAGCTTCAGCTTCA